TTTCAAGGAATTTCAGAGTGTGGCTACCTGAGCACAGAATAAAGGGGACTGCCGTGGTCCTTTCAGGGCTGGTCCCAGCTACCACCCATCTCTGCACTGCCCAGACTTCCTCCTACTTAAGCAGGGGTCTGCTGTTGTTAAAGTTGGTTATTACCCCCAAAACGTGCAGGCACACTAAACACCTCCCTGCCAGCCTGCAGTGCTGTTCTTGTTGCACAGTTTTTATGGGAGGGCTGGCTGACTTACTGCTGGTGTTGGGTTCTGCCCTGCAGTCATGCACACAGCCAAGAAAAATCATCGCTGAGATCCAGCTGTGCCAGTGGAAGGAGTTAGCATCCTGCAGCAGCTTGTGGCGTGGGCACTGCTACCCTTGCAGGTGTGCTGGTTGGGCAGTTTGGGGAGGACTCGCCGTCCCACTTTCGGATTTGTTTCAGCTCTATGAAGAGGTCTGAGGATGCTGTTCTGCAGGCATTAATTCATGCACGCAGTGCTGAGCCACCAGGCAGCAGAGAGGAGCTCGGGGCTGGGCACAGCTTCAGTCTGTGCCTGAGAAGTTAGTCAAGCTCTGTGACATACTGCTTGGCAGCTCGATGTTGTCTGCTGGAGGATAAATAATACCTGGTACATCTAACAGGAGGGAAGCACAGCCATATGATACCGGATCTGGCAAAAATTTTGCCACAATGAGTTATTCTTCAAAAAAGCCCCTGGCAGGTGGGAGGCAGCAGCGTGGATGTGCCATGATCAGCAGCGTGCCTGGCCACTGTAGCATTACTCATCGGGTTGCTTCTCTGATTTATCGTCTTTGGAGTAGAGGACATCAGCCCAGCTGGCTCCGTCTAAATTGTGCACACAGACTGCCCTGCTGGCAGGTTGATGGGAGAGAAACCTCCAGCTGGGGACAGTGACAAGTGCCTGAGAGAGAAAACATCTTTCCCCAGCACAGCTGGATTTGTTCGAGGATGTTTCTCTACAAGCAAGTGGGTTTGAATAGCAATTCATCAGATACATGAACCTCTGCAACCTTCTCTGTAGCACGAGATTGGGAACAGAGGAGATGCTGATGAGAGTAATTCTAGAAAAAACTGAGCTCTGTGGAGAAGGAAATTTTCACTTTGTTTTTCAGGTTAAGCCAGAGATCCCCAAGCTTCTGCTGCAGCCCCGTGGCAGGATGGACAGGCATGCTTCGAGCAGTTCGGGCTCAGGTGTCCGAGTGACATGACCTGCCACCCCACCAGCTGTGATGCTCTCCAAGGGGGACACCTGCATTTTGATCTCTGCTGGCCGTATTTTCCAAGTGCAAGATGGGGCAGGGTAGCCCCGCTCACGGCTTGTTTCTGAGGTGGCAGGAACCACAGCACATGGATGCTCCTGCTCACGAGGGCAGATGAAGTCTGTCCATATGAGCAGCCCTAGGAGAGGCAGGAGTTTGTGTGTGGTGGGAGCAGGCTGGGAGCATGTACAGAGCCAGGTTTTCACATCAGACACCCAAATTACAAACTGATGAATGAGACAAGGGCTCAGCTTTACGTTTCCCACTCTCTGGTAAGCGCTTTTACCCATTTAACTCAGTGCCTGGATGGGTAAGAGACCAACTTTCTGGCAAAACTGCCCACCAGAGCTGGGTACCACCCCTGGTGTTTCTCATCTTGCCAACAGGAGAACACAGGAGAGGCCAAAAGGGTCTTTCAGGACTTGGTGCACTGATATGTTTCTCCCCTTTGCAGATCATCTGGAAAATCTCTGGTGAAAAAAAAAAAAAAACCCTCTGGTCTGCACATTCCCCCCATGTGTGCGCTGACCTGATGGATGAGCTGCAATCCCTCAAACTGACAACGTTTCCCACTCTAAAAGAGTTGGAAAAGAGGCTCCCAAAGAGGCAGGAAGCCTTGACTCCCTGCTCTCGAGTGCCATGTGCTCCTCGCCACGGAGCCAATGTCCCCGTGTCCCATAGGACATCCTGCATGTGGGCGATGGAGCCGTGGTAGCTGATGGTCCCATCAACAGGAATCGATCGTAGCACTGTGGTCTGCCACGTTTCACACTGTGGCAGCAGTGACTCCGAGCGCAGGAGGATCCAACCCTGGCCCGATCAGCCTCCCAAAGGTGTACACTATTTTGTTTTGCTAACGCTGTTGAAAGACAGGGCACCTCCAATTTGCCTGGAGCTGCTCAGTTGTAACATGGCACTACAGGGAAGGGCTGTACAGAAAACCACATTTGACAGTGAAAGCATTTTGCTGGAGCACAGCATGAAAAAGGCAAATTACTATGGCATAAACGAGCAAATCCATCATCAGCAGGAAGAGAAGGAGAGAATTGGTTTAAGGATTCACGTACGAGACTGTGACAGTAATCATATAACGGCCCTTTAAATGTCAAGGGGGGATGAGCATGGTTTAATAGCAACAGAAATGCTGCCAAGCTGGGCGATGTGTAACAAAGCAGACGGATGGATAGATCTACCTATTATCTGCTCCCTGGAAAAAAAGAAGAGGGAGATAATTCAAGTTTATGCTTGATCTAGTGTGTAAATCTCAGAAAGGTAATGTTTTCTTTTATCGAAAAGAGAAAAAAAAAAAATAGTTTGTTTTTAGAGCTGTCCCTGCCATCAGCCAGACAGCACAGGTTCAGCTGTACAAATGAGATACATAACATTTAAAGCTGGCTGCAGCCCTGGTAGTATTACACCGAGGGAAAATGAAAGCACGGGGGTGTGTGGCGGCCAACTGGTCGGTGCTGGGCAGCTGCATGGGCCCGTGGGTCCTTTCAGCAGCGCTGCGATGAAGAGGAAGGACAAAAGAGGGTGTGTGAGGGGAGAGGGACATGGCAAAGGTGCAGCATCGGCTGTGAAACGGTTTTGCTTTCAGGCTCTGCACACACGTGCCGCCCTGGTGCACTGACCCGGAACGAAGGGGTGTCTGTCCGGAGCGGGGTGTCCGGCTGCTTCCTGCACCTCCCTGCCAGGCTGGTGTTGAACAGTGTTGGGAGGGTCATGGAGCCCCTCTAAAACTGCCGGAAAAGCCCTTCTCTTTTGTGAGGGTGCTCGGGGTGCCTGTGCAGCCTGGCTGGCTCCTCTGGCCCTGCAAGGAGCTTCATGTGGCTACTGTGGTCCAGCCTCGGGCAGACTGGCTGCGGGGCTCTTCCACCGTGCTCTGGGTGCCTTCTCGCACTGTTAAAGGCTTTCACTCTGATAATAATAATAAAAAAAAATGACTGAGCATTACCACATCTAACATCAAACCAGCAACACGGGAAAATCCAGGCTATGTTGGGAGAGAGATGAATATCCCTCGGCTGGTGACCACAGGTTGAGGGGCAGGAGGAGAGGGCTTTGTACCCTGAAAAACACAGAAACAGGTTTTGCAGCGTGAGCTCCTCAAATCTGTGGGCATTTATGTTTTCATTCATCCCTTCCGATCACAATTCTGTGCGTGCAAGATGGAGATCACGACCTCTGATTTCATAGGGACCAGAAAGACATTCCCCGGTATTTGTAAAACACTCCGCCTGTGTGTTTACAAGCGCCAGAAGAAAAATCACAAGAAAATGAACAGATTAGTATTCCGAGCAGGCTCCGAGCAGCGTGCGGGTGGCAGGGCACAGGCTGCACATGGACTAACGGGGACCCAGAGTGTCGACTGCCCTGCGCAGCCCGCGGGCTGGTCTGCCCCGGCTCGGCGTGGGGCCGGGCTGCTGGGACAAACCGTTGTCACCGGGTCGTTCATGGGCGTTTGCCAGCGCGGCGCTCGGCTTTGCAAACCCCTCTTCCCATCCAGGTTTTACACATATGATTTAGACCTGTATCTATATTTTATAAAAGTCTGCCAAAGTGCGTTATTGCGGAAATAAAACTAAGCGCTTATTCATTTTTAATGAGCCATCAGGAAGAAAGCTATTACACTGCGTGTTGTGGTGTTTTTCTTCTGTTGGGATATTTATACCGAAATGTCTTGGAAGGAAATTTGTGATTAGATTACATGAGCGAGATACCTTTATTCGTGCTGAAAAGCCTCCCTCACTTAGCCACAAGCGGAGCTGTCAGAGCCACTGAAAGTGAAGCACAATTCAACATAAACAGGTGGCCTTGAAAACCATCAGCAGAAAATTAGATTTAAACACTGATTTAGTCTGTATTAACGCCAGTGCAGTTTTAGCTCTGGCCAAGGGCAGCCTCTGAACTCTCCGGATGCGGAGATTTTGCCTTTTGGGGGAATATAAACCCAAATCGGACACTCGCCAACCGGCTACTCGTCCCCGGGGCCCGGCATCGCCGCCCTCGGGCCTGGATCGGGCCCCTCCGGTTGCCATAGCGACGCCGGTCAGGCCGCCGCTGGCCCTTTAAGGCAGTGCTTGGAGGACCGCGGGAGGCCGGAAGTGTTGCTGCGAGGCGCTCTGGCCTTCGCTTCGTTTCTCTGTGGGTTTGCTACGGTTCCGGCTGCGCGTGGCCTCGTGGCGGGCCGGGGGGTTTGGCGGGGGGGGATGGGGTGCAGTGGGGGATGGGGTGCATGGGGGGGGGGGGGGGGGGGGGGGGCTGTGGGGGGACATGATGTGAGGGGGATGAGGGGTCTGGAGCGCTGTGGGGAGTGCAGGGGGGCTCGGGAAGGGGGCAGTGTGGGGGGTCTAGTGAGGGCCTGGGGGCAGGCTGGAGGGTTCGGGGGAGGGGGGTGTCGGAGTGGGGCTGAGGACAGTGCAGGGGGCTCGTGGGAGAGCGGGGGGGGCTGTGCAGGGACAAACCCGACATGGCGGGGGGGGCTGTGCAGGGACAAACCCGACATGGCGGGGGGGGGGGGGGGGCCTGGGCGGGGACAAACAGTGCCAGGGAGTGGGGGGGCTGAGTGGGAGCTGTGCCATGGAATGGAGGGGCTGTGGGGGGACAAACAGTGCCACAGAGGCGGTGGGCTGGTGAGGGGCAGTGCCACGGAATGGGGGGGGCTGAGGGGGACGCACAGTGCCAGGGAATAGGGGGGGCTGAGGCGGGGGGGCGGGGAGGAGTGCCATGGAGTGGGGGGGCTGCGGCGGGCCCGAGGGGTGCGGCGGGGGGGGCTGGTGGCCGGGGCGAGCGGTGGTGGCCGGACTGGAACCGTTTATTTTTCCTGTGAGTTTTCCCAGAACTCAGAGAACTCAGAGCGCAGTGGGATTTCCTGCCGAGGCCGAGGCCCGGCCAAGCCCCAGCCCTGGCTGCCGGCTGCGTTGTCGCTTCCATTCGTGAGGTGAGCGAGAGTTGGGTGAGTCCCCTGTGACCCCCGCCTGCGTCAGGGGCACGAGGGGGCTGGGGAAGGGCTGCTGGTGGTGGGGCCAGTGAGCCCAGCCTCGTACCAGCCAGCCCCACCCGCGCCCGAGATCAACTCCCAGGCGGGCTCCGTGCTGGGCTTCATCCTGTGCAGTAACAGGTGTGAGCATCCATGCAGCGTTTTGATGGTCATGTATGATACTGCATACAACAGGCTGCCCCCTCAGCCAAGGGAAGACAGCTTTTGGATTAAGTTTCTTTAATGTATAGTGGATCTTCTTCTGAAAATCATCTAGCAAAGTTAAATTGATACTGCCCTTCCTTTGCAGGCAGATTTTATAGATGTGGAAAGTAGAACTTAGATACATTGCACATATATTTTTTTCCCTTGATTTTTCACTGGTACTACCTGAATTCCAAAACTTTGTTCCCCATGTAGTAGGGTATACCTATAAAGTGGTTTCTTTACTAGAGCAAACTGTAAGGCTGTCTTGGAAATAGTGTACTTTGCTCTCGTTACATCTGTGACTTTCTTTACTGTTTGATTTTCTTCCTGCAGCTGGGGAGTTCAGCTGGGGTGACAGCTCAGGCGAGCACATGCCCTCACAAGCATGGGAAGGGGAGCGGGGAAGGCCTGTGTTGTGAACCTGGCACCAAAGGCTTCTGATGATAATTCTTTCCCACCCGCCCTCCTACCCCCCCCAAAAAAAAGCACTTTTCCTGCTTGTTGTTGGTGTTGGTTGGGTGATCTGGCTCACAGTGAGGTCACCCCAGACGGTTGCTCCTGTACAACTGAGGAGCTGTCAGATGGTAGGAGGGAGAAGGTGCTCCTTAAACCAGATTTGCTATTAGACTGTGTTTTGTGTGTGGCTGCAACTGATCTGCTGACAATCAGCAAGCTCTTTCAGTGCAGTTTGGGATAAAGTGAATGTTTCATTGCTGCTAAAATGGGACACCCTCCCTGCCCCCAGTCCCAGCAAAATGCTTTCTTTGCTTGCCTTGACCTGGCACTGGAATTTATTGGGCCTATCTGTGAGCAGGTTTAACCCAAGAAAGCAGCAAAAACAAGCAGAGGAGAGAAAAATAAGTAACTTTCTAGCATGTTAATGAAGCTATGGGAAAGCTAACAGTATCAAAGGTTGGGATGGAGAGGAAGGACTGTGTAGTTTGCAGGAGGGAAAACCAACTTTTCTGCCCCTCCTTCCTCCTTACCACAGTAGCTTTGTTTTGTGGGGGAGCTCTGCTGTGCTGCAGAGAGCGCAGTGTGCACATGGCTGTGCAGAGGCTGCCAGATGCTGCATTTCTAGTCAAATCTGAAAGAGGGGCACTGCACACCAGCAGCACCTGAGCTAGAGGGACCTGACTGATGAGTCTGTCCTAGGACCTCTAATATGCTGTTGGTCTGTCCAGTTTCAGTTTTAACCAGATGTGTGAACTGCCCCTGATACTTTTAGTGGGGTGTTAATTTGGGAGCCTGATGGTTTAACAAACTCACTGTTAACTCTTTGTTCATCAGGTGGTGAATTTTTTCCACCTGTCTCTGCCAGGGTAACCGCAACAGTATGAAGTATATTTTTGAAGAAAGGCCATTCATACTGTGCCTCCTCAGTAGAAAGGAAGCAGCATCTCTGGCTTGGGGCCTGCTGGTGCCAGACCCCAGTGCTGTGTCCCTGTCACACAACACTGATCCAGTACAAGCTCACTTTGCCAGCTCTGATCTGTTCGGACCGCTCTAGGGGGTTAAGGCTGTGCTGGCAGGCTTTCTGCAGGCCACACATCGGACCTTCTGCTGTCAGTGTGAACCAGCATAAGCTCTGGGCTCTGCGTTACGGCTGTTTTGGCAGAAATGCAGCCGTGTTCCCGTGCCTGGTATGCTCAGGCGTGGGCTTGGCTTGATCTGGCAGCCTTATGTTACCGTGACACGGGAGGCTGGAGCATAGCTTCCCCCAGCTGGAAAGGAGATGGTGCCAAAAGTAGCAATTAGCACTGGTGTGCTGTTGGAAGTTTTCATGGCAGAATTGGTATCAGGAAGGATTTTAAGGAGAGATGGGGGTGAGATATGGCTTTTCTTAGATGTTACAATTGATGCTGATCCAGAGAAGGTGGGTCCATGTAGGACAGTGGTCTCGCTCCTATCTGCATTTCTGGCAACACCCTGACCCTGCACCGAGCAAAGCTGCACTCTTCACCAGATGCAAAGTCCTGTGCTTTGAATTTACAACCAATTCTCCCTTTCTGCTTTGTCTCCTGATCTTGAACTGACCTGGGCAGAGCTGTCTGACAGGCTGCAGTTAGAAGACATTTCACTTGTGTACTGCTGCAGACTGACATCTTTGATCAGTTTATTATTTACACAAGCATTTCCCTTTCACTAATATCACTCTTCCCTGGGTTACAAATTGGTATTTTTGGCCATATGGGCTGTCAGAATAAAGCATGTGGAGCCCTAGATAGGGTGATTGCCAGTATCCTCATCTTGTTTGCACCTGGAAAATAAGCCATATTTATCATTTAAATACAAAATTTAGAAATTTTGCTATACTTAAAACTTGTCAGGTTTCTAGTAAAGGGGGGAAGAGTTGAATATAAGTCAGAAAAGTATCTTCTAAGCTTAAAGAATTGTAATTTTAAAAAGTTATTTCTAGGATTTTCCTGTCAGCTCTCAGTTAATATGCAACATAGGTATTTTCAGGGGGCCCTGGATCACGAGCTGTTTGTGACAGCCCTGTGGGGTCTGACTATGTGGCGTGTGCCCTGAGCAGCTCTGGTGCCTGTGCCCAGCGTTCCCTGCAGCAGGCTTGCTGCGGCTGAACGTCCTGGTCGTTTCTTTTCAGGTGGCTGGACCAGAAGATCGTTCTGCAGGATGGTGAGAGTGCTGCCCTTGCAGTTTGGTTATACCTGTGTGGTCTTCTTAGGTTATAGAAAGTAGTTTTGCCTAATCAGATGGTAAACATGAATAAAATCCAGTTCTCAAAGTTGACTTTCTTCCTTTTTCATATTTAATACTTGCTGTTGTGTGTGAACAAAGTGGAAAGATTTTGAATGTGCTGCAATTGTGCTTACAGGCAAGTAGGCATATAAAACTGCTTCTACACTGACCCTTGTGACTTGTGCCCGGGGTGGTCACGCACGGGAGATGTGTAGTGCTCTAGATGTGCTTTGGGGATCTGTAGGGGTAATTCAGTCTTGCATTCAGCTCTACTGAAGGATTTGAGAGCATCTCCTCAGCGTGCCAAGCTCCCATCTCCACTAGAGGGTGTGAAGCTCTGCAGAATGGTTTAGTTTCACAGAAACTGGATAACTGGGAGACTTCCTTCCTTTAATCTGCTGCGCAGGCAGCGAGGCTGCGGCAGGATTATGTTCCCGTTGAGGATCCTGGCGCTGCGCGTTGGCGGCAGCCCAGGTTACTTGTGCATTATATAACCATCAGCCGGGCTCGCCGGGCGCTCCATGTGATGATGCTTGGCCCTGGCCAGTGGAATGACTCGTAAGCAATGAGCGTGTGTGCCTGGGGGAGGCAGCTCTGCTGTAGGTTTGGTACGGTTAGTGCCTACCTCAGGGGTGGGTACCTGGGAGAGCTTGCTTAGAGGGTTAACTTGCACATGCCAAGTTCCCTTTCCTTCCACCTGGGTACAAAATGGACCCTTGCTAACAGCAAGTAGAAACTTTTCACTTAGGTTGCAAAGAGCCTGGCTCCTAGATTTCCCTTCATAGGTAGAGGGAATTTCCACTCGATCTGCAAGGCTGCCCAGCCAAGCTTGAGGCCAGTGTGCTGTGAAACACCTGTGAAATGCTGTGAAACACTCATGAAGTGCTGTGAACCCCAGCTACTTCGTGGGTTGTGTGTGTTCCCTGTGCTCATAGGAGGTGTCACAGAAGCTGCTCAGCTCGTGCTGGCCACCCTGGCTCCTTGGCCAAGTACAGGATTTCTCCCTTGCTCAACTTTGTCTCTAAATGTCACAAGAATGACTTCCTGAGCAGAACCAAACCCAGCGACGCTGCCTTTGCTCCAGCACTCGCAGTGCTTTGGGAGCACCCAGAGGAGAGCAGGGCATCTTCGTGGGTACGTGATTGCTGCAGCTTGAGATGCGGAGGAGCACGCGCTGCTCTGTGGCTACTGGTAGTGGCTGGGGTCCGTGGACATTTTGGAGCTTGATCTTCACATCCGAGTGGGGAGTGGTTAGTGGCCAAAGGATGGTGTCTGCTGGCTACTGCTCCGGATGGGTGTCAGGGTGGAGGCAGCCGAAATGGGGTGGTGCTCCTGGGGCTGAGGAGTGCGAGTGGTGAGGGTGGGGGGGTGCCTGTGGGAAGGGCGGTCCTGCAATGGCTTTTTTGCCTTTGCTTTCAAGGAAATTTTTACATCTTCTTGCAAAAACAATGTTCTCTTGGAAGGTTTTAATTCAGAATGGGTCAGCTGATCGCCAGTTGCCTTTAGAAAAAACGTGCTTTTCCCCAGCTCCCCTGTGGGACACAGTGTCTTGATGTGGTCATATGCACATGACTGCCAAGCGTGGTCCCCAGCCCGTCCCAGCGCCTCTCCTGGGGTCCTGCTGTGGAAACAGTCCAGCAGCTGATGTCATTAGTTGCACTAGAAGCACTGTTACAGTAAAAGCCTCTTTGGGCTGGCAGGTACAGGCAGCACACAGCCTCCGCTGGCTCAGTGTGCTGAGGTCTCTGCTTAAGCAACATGCAAAGTGGATTAGAGATTGTAAACAGCATTCATCTGAGGAAAGCATAACTGACCTGGGAGAAGTGGGTCACTTGGATATTTGGGGCTGTGTAACTTGCAAATCGTGCTTAAGGATCTTACTTGTTTATCAGCTGGAGTGATTCAAATTGCATTGTAAAAGCGGCTTGTGCCTGTCTGGGGCAGGGTGACACATCCCCTGTCCCTGCTTGCCTGCCCCGAAGCCTCTCGTGGCCCTGGGAAGATGGGTGAGCCCGGGTTTGCTTATCCGTTGCCCATTGGGTTTTCCTATGAGTTGAAGCTGCTGTGAGCCTCTTAAATAGCAACTGAGAATTTATTGCCAAGACAGAGCAGGCAAACACCCGAGCCAGTCAGTGTTGGTATCGTGGATGTTTTAAAGCCTGTGCTGTTTCACTTGTTTTGCCCACTAGTTGGGCAGGATTACTCCCCACCATGGTTAGCTCCAGACTGTCCCAGAAGGGAAATGGTTTTAAACCCAGGGGTCAACAAGGTGCTTGTCCCCCTCTCCCTCACTGCTCTCCCTTGCCTGTGTGGACAGTGTCAAACAGCTTGTCTTTTCTGAGGATTTCACACATCCCCAGCAGGTTGGTGCTGGGCAATGTGAGGGTGGCTGCCAGCTCTGCAGGTGTTGCAGAGGGTCCCACCCAGGAGAGGTGCTGGCGGGGGTCCATGTGTGAGCTGCACCCAAACACAGTCTGGCCCCTGAACCAGCGCTTTGCTCCGGCTCCCCAAGCACGTGCCATTTATTTTTCTTCCCCAGCTGTGAAGGAGGTGGCGCGCAAAGTGCTCTGGCCACCACTGTGGCTCCGTGTTATTGCAAACACAACCTGACCATCAAAGCATGAGTAATTGTTTGGAGGAGCCTTGTCTGCCACTTGCACCCTGCGTGCTGCGATAAGGTCGAGCCTTGCACTTGTTTGTGCTGTTTGCAAGCCGTTCCTTCCTCCGCGGGTAAGAATAGCTCATCTCACGAGTACACGAGTCTCCAGAGCAATGAGTTATCTGCTTGGACGTGCTCCCTGAGCTGAGAGGAAGAGTGCTTTGTTGGAGGAAAGGTCTTTGCTTGCTGGAGGGAACGCTGCTCTTTGGCAGGTCACAGACCTGGTGGCCCTCCATGCACTGTTTTACCCTGCCCCGGCCTTGATGCCTTCCCTCCCCACACAGCAGAGCCCCATGTGGTCCCCGGGGCTCTGCAGCTTCTGATCCAGCTCCATCAGCCTGCCTGAAAACGGCTCTGTGGACAGGAACAGCTCTAATCCTTTGCACGGGTGGGTGGGCTGCTCTGCTGCAGCATCCGACCTGTTCTTCCAACCCCAGGCAGCTCATCTCCCCTCTGCTCTTCCCTTACACTCTTGGGTCTCTGTTTCCCAGCACGTGGGATTTCTCTGCTCATTTCAGCCTGTGCCCCAACACGGTTCCTCTGTCTGCTCTGGGGTCGCAGGGACAGGAGCTGCTCCAGCAGCCTGTCACTGCGGGAAAGGCGCTGCAGTGCTTACCCTGCCCAGCTCTGGCTGGCTCTTACTCCTCGCGGGGAGCTGACGCAACTCACCCGCCTGGCAGAAAAGAATTTTATTGTTGCTGGATTAAGGAGCTAGGCTGGCCCACAGAAGGTCCCGGTGGGCGCTGGGTGAGCCGGACCTCTGCCTTTTGGCAGCATCAAGCCCTTACATCAGCTCTGCGGGTCGGGGAGCTACAGCCTTGCTGGCTCTTCTTGTCCTAGCCTGCTGCCCGTGCACAGCTTTCTCGATTCCTCCATTTCTGACTGGTGAGGTCATGCTCTGAGCGTCCCGTGGCTTTTTGGAAAAAGTTCTGCCCATTGTGTTTTTGTGGGGAGATTGGGATCCTTTCTACAACATAAACCCAGGGCACCGAGCACATTTCTTACAATCTTCTCTCCTGCTTCTAACCATGGAATTTGATTATTTTTTTTTTAATAACTTCTCAGTGGTTTTCTTACTGCAGGGAAAAATCCTGTTGGACTCGAGGCCCTGGAGATCTCGTTGTGGAGGTCAGCCCTGAGCTCTGCCAGCCAGCCAGCAGCATCTGATCCCTGCTGAAGCTGTGCAGCAGCACTGCCCAGGACAGCAGGCAGCTCTGCAGTGATGGCAGCCAGATCTTTATCACAAAAATGGGTATATGTGCCCTGAATGCAGGATGGCAGAGTCAAGGCACTTGGGTTTCAGGAAATACTGCCCTTTCTGACATACAGCTGATGCTTTTCCCCTGGCAGGAAAGCGCCCCAGCCCACGGCAGCACTGTGGTACCACTGCCGTACGGGAGGGTCAGCCACGGCACGGTAGCATCCGTGGGGAATGACTTGGGTTTTCAGCCCATTTGGATGCAAAACTTTTTCCAGAAGTAAAACTTCACATCAGGACTCTTGGATTGGGATGCAAATTCTCTATAATAACTTTATTTCTTCTGTAACAGAAAAAAAAAACAAAAAAATAAAAAGAAAGCCTCTCCACTGGAGAGCTCTGGTTGCAGGTGCAGTAAAAGCTGTCAGTGCCCTCTCTGCTGTGCTTATAGACACTGGTGATAAGGGGTAGTGCCACACACAGCTCTGCCACCTGCCAACGTGGCCTGATAAGGACATTTGTGCTTGATAAAGTCTGCATGACCTGCTGGGCCAGAGCAGCCACACTCATTGTTTTTTCAGACTCATCAGGATCTGCTAAATGGAAAAAGAGGAAAATCAGTCTGAGAAGGTGATGTGAGCTGTCAGGCTTCTCTCAGCAAAACTGAGTGCAAGGCTGATGGCTTTTGCTTGGCTGGAGTGGGCACTGCGGGTCCTCTGGGCTTTCCAAATGTCACCATTGGAAATGTCTTCAGAACCAGAGGCCCAGCTTAAATTAGAGAATGAACCGTTCCCTCCTCGCCAGGCAGCACAAGGCATGGAGGACAGGACAGAGCCAGCCTCCTCCCCTGATTTTCCACATCAGATTAGTTCTTCAGGCTCAATAATTATTCTCTCTTCCAGGCAAGGTTTAAGGGGGTTGTTTTTATTTATGGGATGAGGGTTCTCCTCCTAAATAATGAATCCTGGTCACAGAGCCCTGGTCTGGCCATCTCCTGTGTATCCCCAGGCTGAAAGATGCTGCCTGGGTACAGAAAGTTTGGGACATCGTGATGCTGTGAGTGTTTCTTCTTACAGTCCTTGATCCCAGTGATCCCTTGATCAGTGAATTACTGATCCGGAATTACAGCTTCTTCCTCTTTCTTTAATGTTTCTGGAAAAAAAAAAAAAAAAACCAAACAAAAAAAACC